GAAATTGTGAAGGTTGTGTCAGGAAGGACATCCAACGTAAAACACTTTTGCCAAAACTATAATGCAAGTTCATCAAAGCAAAACCATACCGGATTGGTCGAGGCCTGGGTTAACAACGACCGCCACTGGTGCCGTTGACAAACAGGGTGCTGGCAGAAATTGTGCTACTGTTAGTTGAAGACCACGAGGAGGGAAACATGTCAGGAGACAGAGGGAGAAGAGGAAAGTGAAGAATGTAGGACTGAGGGTTGCAACTCTAAATGTGGGGACAATGACAGGCAAAGGTAGACAGCTGGCTGACATGATGCAGAGAAGGAAGGTAGATGTTTTGTGTGTCCAAGAAACCAAGTGGAAGGGCAGCAAGGCTTGCAGCATTGGAGCAGGGTTCAAACTGTTTTACCATGGTGTGGATAGAAAGAGAAATGGAGTAGGGGTGGTCCTGAAGGAGGAGTTGGCAAAGAATGTAGTAGAGGTGAAAAGAGTGCCAGACAGGGTGATGTGCCTGAAGGTAGAAGTAGAAAGTCTGATGCTAAATGTGGTTATGCTCTTTAGGTTGGATGTGATGTGGAGGAGAAAGATATGTTTTGGAAGGATCTGGATGAAGTGATAGAGAGTATTCCCAGGTAGGAGAGAGTGGTGATCGGAGCAGACCTGAATGGACATGTTGGTGAAGGAAACAGAGGACATGAGGAAGTGATGGGTGGGTTTGGTGTCAAGGAAAGAAGTTAGGAAGAACAGATGGTAGTGGATTTTGCCAAGAGAATAGAAATGGCTGTAGTCAACACTTATTTCCCAAAGTGGGAGGAACATAGAGTGACCTATAAGAGTGGAGGAAGGAGTACACAGTGGTTCATAAGTACCATAAAGTTGCATTAATCGATCATAATTAGAAACCTCAAAGAACAGGTGGTCTCTGTCTGCTTAGAAGAACTATTTTGTATTGATTTCCTCTAATCTAAGGAAACCATTCATTAAACGGATATAAAATCCTGAGAAACAGCATCACATAACTGACTTTGTCTCCAATTCTAACAATACAGAAAAATTGGGAATTTAATGGGGGTTTTTTAAAGGGTGAAATTTGGCTAGTTTTTAACAGGCAAGTAAAAAATTCCCAATTCAGTAGAAACTCCTTTTTTTTTTGTTGCTTTTTATTATTTACAAATTGGCTTTGTATGAGTAAAAAAATAATTAAATTTGAACCGATTATATTTAAGTCTTAATTCTAATTGAATTCTAATTTAGTGCGTGCAATTTTAATATGAATTGGATTTGTTTGTGTTTTCTTCACCGTGCTATGAGATAGCTTTTCGTGCACTGAGCTCACGTAAACGTGAATTAAAACATTACTCCAGCACTTTTAGAGATGTGTGAACGCTGACTGCGCTGGCACACGAGGAGTTACTCTTATTGAGCATAAAATTCCTGCAAACCCTTTCATCTTAACTTTTCTTTGTTTTGGGCATAAAGTAGTTCATAACAAGCTGTTTGACTGTACAGTAATGAGAAAGAACAAATACCACAAAAGACTTAGAATTAGGAGGAAAATGATGACGATGTCCATTTTTTCCTAAGTGACGTGTTGCTGTTTATGACCTCCTGGCAGGATTCTTCAATCTTCTTCTTAAGCAACTTGTTTCCTGCAAATATCCATCATCAGCCATTTATGTACATATAAAAGCTTGGACATCTTACTTCTCATATTAAACCCTTAAAAAAAACAACAATGGATGATGTGACGATGCAAAATTTAGAAAATAAAATTTCTATGGGATATTTTTAGCAATGCAAATGTGGATAAAATACAGAAATAACTAAATTCATGCAATGCAAAACAAGTAATAAATCATCTGAGAATAACTCATCTTCATTCTAATTAAAAAAGGAATCTGGTAGGAACCAAAGCAGACTATTAAGTGTCTGGTCAAAATGGAAAGTGTGGTTCTGGAGCTGTCAATCATCCATTACGAACTTTATCTGCTCCTCTCTGCTGAGTGCTAATGAGCAAACAACAGCCCCCCTGATGACCCTGCAGCTGATGTTCTGGTGAAAGCACGCTCACACAAATGCACGTTTTTTTTGTTGGTTTTTTTTTATTGGGGTGGGGGTGGGTGTTGCCATGAGGAGTGAAATTCATGTGCGAAAAGCTTTCGTTTTAAAAAACAAAGCACCATCATCGCAGCAGAACAGATCAGGTGTAGATAGGCAGCAGCAACTTGTTACCAACAAGTTCTGGAACATCATGTTCTGCGGCGAGATGGTTGATTGGTGCGCTGGGATTTGTCTGTCTCGACATCGTCAGTACACACACATACCTTTTGGCTGAACATGAGAGGAGCTGAAGGAGGGGTTAGAAAAACCTGGTTGTAAAGACAGCCTCTCCCCGTCTCTATGGCAACCCGTGGGCATACCGCCGTATAGACTTTAATGGCTTGTCACGGCTCTCAGAGCAAAGCAGCAGTTAGGCGAAGCTGAAATGACAATCATGAACTGCAGGAGGTAGAAATCTCTGGCTCCTTGATCTGGTGTGTGTTTTAATGCAGTTTGTGAATATGGTGCTTTCCCTAAACATGCCTACAGTAGGCCGCCCTGCCAAGCCTGTTCCCACAATCCACTGCAATTTAAAGTATATTTTTGCTTTCTCTAAAGAACTTTTAAATTGTTTAAAATGTATCCATTATTACTGTATTCATCCACCTGGATGTTTAACCGTTTTACTGCTCTCATAAATTACTCATGGTTACTGTATTTTTTGGCCTATAAGTCGCAATTTTTTGCATAATGTGCATGCCCTGCGACTTCTACACTAAAGCAATGAATTTATGGACTTTTTCCCATATTTATAAAACAATTTTTGGCTGCGATATGACCGTTTTCATTCATTCTGACTGAAAATATTGAACACTACCATTTTCCACCACTAGCTGGGACTCGAGTTGTATGGCATGCCGTTGTGTCATGTAGTAGTTAAAAGTGGCTATTAATGACACAGTCTGTTTGCCATAAACTTCCACCGTCAACCGTCAAATCAGCTTCAGTTCGCTGCACCGCCCCGGTGAAATGCAGCTAATTTGACCATTGAAGTGCATTTATTAAGGAAAAATTCAACAGAGACACACCTTTACTATAATGTCGAGCAAACAAATAATTGTTTTTAAGTGTTAATCTTGTTAAATTCTTGTTAAAGTCCTCCCGTGCATGCTCCCGTGGCCGCCATTTGGCAGCCAATTTATTTTTGCCCATATTTCCAGGTTGTCAGCGGTGACACATAATAGATGTGATGTTTACGGTGAAGCAACGTATTTATGGATTTTTCCACTTTATTAGACATATTTGGACTGATGCGACTTATAGGGCAGTGTGACGTATACAGCGGAAAATATGGTAATATAATATGGCATGTTTGAATAAAATAAACCCTTCTTCAATGTCAAAGTGAAAGCTTTTTTTTACAGATTAATACCAGTTAAAAAAAATGGTGACTGCACAATGCACCACCTTCGTCCCATCATTTTTTTAGTACAAGCACCTTTAGCTGCAGTCACAGCACGGGGCAGCAGTTCTTATATACACAGTCTCTCTGATCAGTTTTCACCTCGTCACTGAATAGCTTTTATTTATTTATTTATTTTTGGTCGAAAACAGTCAATTTAAAAGGACTAAGACTGATTCTGAGGGCAATAAAAGTATAAAACATCCAAGGGGGTGATAACTTTTTATAGGCACTGTAACGAGCAATCTTTCTGTTTGTGTAGAATTGCTGCTTTAGTCCCATAATGATAAGCTAGATTAACATTTAATGTAAATACATGGTAGAACTGTATGTTTTTTTGTTATTTTTAAACTTGTTTCCAGTACAGTTGTAGTTTTACAGTGCCATCTACAGGTAAAAAAAACTACTCAACATTCAGCATAAATTTAATGAGAAAAGGCAGAAGGATGGGATTAAAATGAAAAGTCCAACAAAAAGATCAGAAACTATTCCCAAGATTATTTTAAATGATCACAAGAGAATATACATTAATTGACTAAGTAAGATGGACTTTGTCATATTGTTAAAAAAATTGTGTTTAAATCGTTTATGTGCTGCTTTTAAAAACTGTAAAACGTGACTAGAATTGGATTTAAACAGGATTCTTTCAGATTTACTTTTTTTAAATGGTGCACATTCATAATTTGCTCTTAATGTGGCAAATACACATTTTGCACAAAGTACAAAACGTTTCAAATTAAAAGTGCCTTTTAAAACATTTGAGCAAGAATTAAATGTTTATGTTTTATTGTTTGTTTCCCAGTTAGATCTTCTAAATTATCCAGTCCCATTTGTGATTTTATGGTCATTTAAAAGTTTCAATTTCAATTGGAACGTGGACTTTTTTCAGTTTTCTTCAGAAAAGGTTTTCTGTTCTTCTTGAAGGATTACTTTGTTCTTGCACCATTTTAGAACCGTTAATCTTATAGTGTTATGCTGTGTTTTGCTTTTTTTTAAATTCAGATGAAGTTTTATTTCACTGGCAGAAAGTTTAAAATCATTGTTATACAGTAAAATTGCTAATCAGAGACTTTCCAGATGGTATCGTATGGTAAATTTATATATTTTCTGTCTTTATTCTGACAATATTTTCTAAACTAAAAGGAGCCACAAACCCTGACAAGCCTCTACTGTGTTTTAGAACAGGCTGGGTCCTCATCGTCATAGCCAAATTATTATTTAGGATGCGGTTTTAAGATTTTTACTTTTATCATTTTTAAGGCGCATCATCTGTACGTGTATTAAACTGGTTCTTTAACAAGTTGTACGTGGACAACTCTTAAGTTTAGTTCCTCTCGTAAGCTTGTGTAAACGTAACAATACTGCTTCTCAACACCAGAGCCAAAATTAGAGTCAAAAAGTCAGCTGGTCCGCACCTGTTTGACATTTTGCTCATTTAACACAACCCTGCTCACATCAAGAAAAGTTTCAAGGAGTTTCCAAGTTCCCGACACAACAACCAAGCAGAGAGCATAATAATGAGTTTACTGAGACTTAAAGAACTAAAGCACACAGATAAATGTTATAATGTGCTGGAAACAAACGCAAAATGTTTTGCAAACTATAATAAGGAACAATTTGACAGTGAAAGTGTAGTTGTTAAAAACAAAATGATGTATAAAGAATCTTGTTGTGGACTAAATCTAAGCAATTACTGATGAAATTGATACATGATTTTGTTTTATTTTCACCAAAACAAGACATCCTTATGCACAGTCCCTGGGAGAGCTTTCATGATACAAGTTAAAGAACACCAAACAGTCCAGAATGAACTTGGCTCGTCAGTTGTCTTGAAATTTTCTCTTCACTTTCTGGAGACAGACTTGCCTTTGGCCCCACGGGAGGTCTTGGACAATTTGGAGCCCCTCTGGTGGTCACTGACTCGGTTTCGGAGCACATGGATTTCATACTTCTGCTTCTTGAGCTTTTCTGCTAACTCGAACTTCTCGGCGTGCAGCTGGTACAGCCACTGCCAGAGGTCCTGCGCCTTCTCCACCAGCTTCTCCTGGTTCAGGTGGTCTATGTTGAGCGGCTTCTTGCGCTCCATCAGAGCCTTCTTCTTCTCCTCACGGGCTGTTAGCTTCTTGCCCTTCTTCTGCTCGACTTTCTGCAGGTAGCCACCAAATGACTTGTTGGAGAATATCTTCTTTTTCTTGGCATCCTCCTCTGCTCGTACCTTGGCTGCCTCTTCCTCACGCCTTGACCTCTCCTCGGCCACCCGTGCTTGGCGCTCGCGCTCCTGCTCTGAGCGGACACGCTGTTGTTCGGCCCTGTCTGCGCGGCGGCGTTCGATGCGGGTGCGAAGTGCCATCAGTTCTTCCTCTTCCTTCTGACGGCTGGAGAAGTGTTGCTCTATGAGGGCCTGGAGGTCATTGAAATCCTTTTCCAACCTCTTGCGGTGGAGGTCATCAAAATCAACCTTCTCGCCATCAGGAAGCTTTGGAGGAGTCATGTTTGGCACATAAGTTGTCTTGTGCCGTGGTTTGGACCCTTCTTCGTGCTCATTCTCCTCCCCTTTCTTCTCATCCTTCTCGTCTTCCTGCTCATACTCCTCCACAATTTCCTCCGTGTCTGACATGACTTTGAAAGTTTACAAGGAGAAGACAGACCGGCTGGCGTTTCAAACACTGGAGATGACTGGAGTCTTGTATGTGCAGGTTGTGGGGGTTTTAAGGGTTTGCCTTTGTCATGTGACCATTCCATGGCGGTCTCCTTGGTGTGGGTCAGCAACAGGACAGATTTTGAGACAGATGGATTGGTCTATTTTCTCCTCCACCAAGTCTTGTCATAAACACTTGCCTACTTTATCCCCTAAAGACCCCCCTGCTGCCTACTCTGACCCTACAGGGCTCCTCATTCCTTTTTAAGGACAAAATGAGAGACTATTTCAGAAACACAACAGATGTACATGCATACTTGGGCCATTCAGTCCCACATAGCAACACACGGCCTGACAAATAACTCCCATACTTTAAAACTCACTGGAAACACTTTTCATGTACTGTTCTGTTTCCCAAGAAAAATGCTATTCACTTAAATTTAAAAGCCACAGTGTGGAAACATGTGATGCTTAAAGACTTCCAATAGCAAAAGCACACGTTTTTAAGTGCGCCACAGCTTAAGAGGATTTTAATGATGGGAAGTCAAAGCAATCCCATTTACCAGGGTTAGCATTTACTTTTAATATCCAAATGCAAATATTAGCTCGGTTAGTGTGCATTTTTAGGAGCTCTGTTTCGACACTTAAAGACTGAACCACTTCTGTGGGAACAATGATGTACAGAATGAGCTTACCAGCTCTGGTATGTATCCTTTTAGGAATGCAATTAAAAGTTTACTGCACGGAGTGGCCTCAGCACTATGCTGCCAACGTTTAAAGACATCAACAATTTACATTTCCAAGTCTTGAGTTCTCAGTGGGAAAGGACGGAGATTTTAGGGGATGACTGTGTGTAACAGGTGCTCTGCAGCGTCTGGGAATCCCAATTAACTTGGTACATGTGCCTCCTTGGGATAAAGCTCCTGATGTTATTCTGTAACTCTACATGATAGACAACACATATTATCTCCAGGAGATTATGTTTCAGTCATGGTATAAGTCTTGTGGGGCTCTGTCTGAGTGAAGATAAGCTAATTGTGGCCTGAAAGGATCACAACACAAATGTTAATGTCCCATGTCTGTCTCAACCTAGGGAGGCTCTGATAAAACATGCCTGTGTGCAACACGACGACAGCAGGTGGTTCCAGTAAAAATCAGGGCCCTCCTGGTTGCTGCTGGGAGTCAAGGGACAACTGTGTCTTTCATCAAAGACAGGCAACAAACAATGGGAGCCAGAGCTATATATGTCCTTCTGCTGTTTGGCAACGTGGGAATTGGTACGTTTTATTTTACTTGTTTGAATAAACGTAGAAAACGTAAAGATGCTCTTGTCTAGATAACTTTTAAGTTACTGAAACAAAGAACCAGACTAGAGTAAAGCACACTAAAGTCATATATGTTTCCAGTTTACCAAAGTAATCAGTTGTAGGTTTCACAGTGACCTCATGTGGCCAGAGCTGGACACTACAGATGAATATTTACTAGTCTTACTTTGGACGGCTACACCAACAGCTATATTTTTACCATCTGTGTTTTTCTTTAAAGTTTAATACCAAATATACATAAAGTCTGAAACCATGTAGACCTTATGTTGTAGCAGTTGCCAAAAATGCCACAAAAAAAAAAAACAGGTAGTGTGCACACCGTAGAAGTGTAGTGCCATCTGAGGATGATGAGCTAAAATAAGCTCAAAAAGTATAAATAATGGTGGTGTTTGGGAAATTGTGAGAAAAGCTGATTTTTAAAAAAAAACTAATGTTAGTTAGGATTAATGTTTTTCTATATGTGATGCAGGACACTGTGTTTGGGCTTTCTGCAATGCAGCCATAAAATATTTTCTTCATTTGATCTATTTGTTGGCCTTGCTTGGCCAGATGTGAAAAGGAGTAAGTGTAAAGGGTTGTTTTATTTATGTATTTGGACCACTGTCCTATATCCTGACTACTGTGGTAAGCTATAGCCTCAAACCATGGCAGTTTAGAGACCTGATCTTTTGCTAGTGTGTGTGAAATTAAGTGGTCTGGGAGGATTAGGACTGAAACTGAAACATTGTTTTGCATTAATAAATATCTGTGTTTTAAATAAATGAGAAATGAGCCCTAAGTGGTTTAAAATCAGAAGCAAGCAGACTTGTTTACTTATCGAAGATGTCATGGCTGCACTATTGATATTTGAAAGAACCTCCTATCTTATCTAGTTTTTCCATGCGAATTGGTTTCTGATACACCTCTTTTAAACCATCTGTCTTCTCCGTCTAAAATGTGCACATTGCCGTCATCAAATTATCCCTTGTCCTTGATTGTCACTTGAGATTTTCATGTCCTGGATCTTTGAGAATCAACAAAATGAGTCATTCTCCATTATTTTTCTGTCTTAACTTAAATAAAATAAAATTAAAAAAAGTGTATTGACTATTAAACAATGATACAAACTAAAACATTTGACCTAAATGGGCAGCAAAACTGCAAAACATCCACAACGGTATTACAATATAAATAATGTTTTAACAATTTTTGGGCAACATTTTATTTGAAAATGTAGCTACAACTTGAAGGACTAATTTGTGTCAGCTGGCGCCTAGCTTCAACACAATGAATGACTGAAGGTAAAAATAAATAAACTATTAAAATGTTTGTATTTTGTAACTTTACTACTTATAGCTTAGAGTACTTTCGTATACTTTTACACACCTGGCTCTTTGGTCCGAAGGGGAGAATGACAGCAGAGGTCAGTCGCTTTTTATTTATTTATTATTTCCCCTCCTTTTCGCGGTCTTTCTATCTTCATGACGCAGCTGCCCGCGGTCACGTGCCTCTCACGCGCTCTGATCTGATGACTCCGCCCACCGGATTCCGCCTCGTTATGAAATCAAACGTGCGACTGCAGTTTACAACAAAAAAACACTATAAAACTGACAAAATAAACCATATTATTGTTCTTTTTATTTAGGTAAACGCTTCCTGATTGTCTTCTAGCAGCCATGTTGCGTTAATGTGTCTGTGCTGCTGTGTTTTGGTGTAGTCTACATACATAACAAGCACATGCCGCTTCACACGTGCGCGCTGGTTGTCAGGGGCCGGGGCGGGGTTTAGTGGGGAGTGCCCTGTGACTCACGGAGTTTATCCTTTAACAAAAACTGTACACTCAGTTCATGTCACAGGCATGATACATAACAAAACCACACAAGGATCTTTACTCTTATCTAGTGAAAAATATTCCATAGTAAGTTCCAACCAGCCAAACTGAGGTTTCCAGCTCCATTTTTACAAGTCACCATGGCAACCAGCAGGCTCTTCATTACTTGATGACTACAGAGCTTTTAAGTTTGCCTGTGGAGCAGGAGCGCCACTACGGGGTGGCCAGGAGGAGGGCAAAGCCCACCTCTAAAAATCCCCACTTACACCCTACTGACTGACCCCTCTTTGCCAAACAGTTTTATCCCTTTGAGTCCCAAATTTTTGCTTGTGCATTTTAAATTTTCCCTAGCTATTTAGGATTAGGAAAACCTCACTAACATTAAAAATAATTTTTTTTTTAAATTAAGTTTAAAATATTTCATTTAAAACTAAATATAAAATATAGACTTTAATCCCCTGAATAAAGGTAATCGATCTAAAACTACAGTAAGTCAGAGTCAGAGATTCTTTATTATGTACACAGGGTCCCAGTTACCATCCATCCATTATCTTTACCCGTTTATTCCATTTTGGGTCACGGGGGTCGCTGGTGCCCATGTTGTGCGAGGGGCGGGGTACACCCTGGACGGGTCGCAAGTCCATCACAGGGCCACATAGAGACAAACAACCATTCACTCTCTCACTCACACCTAGGGACAATTTAGAGTTACCAATCAGCCTAACATGCATGTTTTTGGTCTGTGGGAGGAAACCGGAGCACCTGGAGAAAACCCACGCATGCACGGAGAGAACATGCAAACTCCACCCAGAAAGGCCCCTGGACCGGGGTTTGAACCAAGGACCTGCTCGCTGAGAGGCAGCAGCTCTACCAGTTGTGCCACCGTGCTGCTCTCCAACAATAAAATGTAAAATAAAAATAATGGTAACATCTAAGATATGAACTAAGAAAAGCATGTCCTCAACATTAAGATGCATGGTTTCTGAAAGGCTTTAAAAATATTTTTATAAATATAACAAGGAGAGAATATGTCAACAAGTTGAGTAGTATGGACATTGCTTTTCTGAAATGGATGGATTGAAAAAGCAAATGAAGTATAAAGTAAAATGTAAAAAGTTGATTTTTTTTTTATTCCCATTTTTGGACATTTGAAATACAGTACTCTATTTTTGTTCACAACGGCAGCATCAAGTAAATATATATATATATATATATTTTTTTTATTATTGGAAGTGGTGGGTTTAAGCATGAGAAAACTGGTTTCAATGTTTTGTTCAATGTACTCCTTCAAATTTAAGAAATAATGTACATTTTAAGCGAAAATGTAAAGATCATTTTGGGGATTATTAGGATACAGAACACATTAAAGCTGTTGTGGAACTCCAATTGGTTTTTCTTAACTTTCATGTTGCCAAAGTCAAGTCATTTTACAGCAACAGCACTATAGAACTACTGTATTGTTCTTGTTTTTGGTGTGCCACCCAAGGATTTTCAGTGGCACCAACATGGCCACCCCATAAAAACTTCTGGAGGTGCCACTGCTTTGGAGGTGATCCACATCAATACGCAGACCCACCTGGATCTAGGTGGGTATGTCCACCTAGTTTCTGGGCCTCACCTAGAATCCTTAGATTGTTTTACAGTCGGTAGTGTTAATCACTTCTACTTGTATAAAAACTTTGTTCATTAGTGAATAATGTGGATTAATAACCTCAATTCTTTTCAGTAAACTTGTCTCAGCCTAAGTGAGTGCTCTTAAGATTTGAACCGTCTTGTTAGACAAAGCTGTTATCAACTAAAGATTTTATAAAGTTCTTTAGAGGTCTAGATATGTAGCACCAACGTGAACTTTTAATTTCTTCAGCTTATGTAGATTTAATGCCATCTGCTATTAAAAATGGGTTTGAAATATTTTGAGGTTGGGTTTTAGAGGCCGTCCACAACTTCGAGCAAAAATACTTAAAATTGCATCTTTGAAGAACTTATCCTATTGGTAACATTACTGTAAAATTTACTTTGTCTTCATCCTCATCTTTTTTAGCATTACCAGACACCAAATACTTGTAAAAATAAAACTACTTTTAAAACCTAGATGTGTTTTTTTTTAAGTTACTACATTTTATGACAGTCATGTCTGGGACTTATTTGACCAACTTCAGTGCTACAACAGCCAGAATACATCGTCAAGCCTTAGTGTAGAAAAGTGTCAGTCGTTGCTTCCTGGTTCAACTTCCGGCACACTTTAATGGGATTCATTAACAAAATATAAAAACACTCTACAGCCCTTTTCAAAGTAGTTTAGTTTGACTGATGCATGCGTCCAAGTTTAAATTAAAGTGCATTAAGAAGAAAAGTGAAACCACGCTTTCAGTTTGTACGTTTATTTATCAGGAGTTTACAGGGGGCACCATGATGTGAAGACTCTTTATTCCTCTCAGTTTTAACCCATAAGAACTGACACAGGCAACATGATGTCATACCTGATAAGGAATGAGACAATTTCACAAGTACTGAGATAAAGAACAATCAAAAACACTTGTTTTTTTTAAGTTTACACTGGAGGGCTCAAAAACAAACGTAGGAAAAAAATATGCAGGCAGGTGGTTTTACTATCACAGACAAGAAGCTTTGTTTTTATTCTTTTTTTTTTGTACAGTCTGAAAATGCTTGTTTTTAATGAAAATTTACCCCCTCTAAAAAAGATTATCCTTCACATTTTCTCATATCAAAAATATATCAATTGGTCTATGGCTACACAAAGAGAAGAAAACACACCAATCCAAATATGTACAAGTTGTGTGCGAGCTGCAATTAGCAAAATCATTATATACAAAAGGATGTTTGTCCTAATATCAACCCAAAGGTAAGCAGAAACAGCTGCTTCAGTTTGTGTCACTTCTGCCTGGGATGTGCAGTCCTCCAGAGAATTTACAGTCCGTTTACTTTAGATGACGTTTGACAACGGGGGAGTTAGGACGTTCAGTCTTAAGGTGCGTTCATGCAACGTGGTGCTATATAGCAAAACTTGTTTTGTGTTGGCGGGCTGGGCGTTGTGCGGGAACACCTGGAACACAAAGGGACAGAAGCATTAACACTATATGACTTTAAATTAAATTAAGTGAATGGTAAAAAAAAAAAAAAATGAGACTACCGTATTTCACTGTATGTCACAGGTTTTTTTGCATAAATTAGCAACTTATACAGTGAAGCGACATATTTTTGTTTTTTCCTCCATATTTATCACCCAGTTTTTGGCTGAGATTTGATGATTTCATTCATTCTGACATGGAAAAAATTGAACACTATCATTTTCAGCCACTAGAGGGACCTTGACTAATATGGCAAGCTAAGTGTCTCCTTAATAGGTAAAAGTGGCTATTAATGAAACACTTGACTTGCCATACTAAACCACCTTCATCTCGCTCCAGAACTCCTGGAGCAAACGTCAAATCAGCTTCATTTCGCCGCACCGCCCCGGCGAAATTCAGCTGATTTGACCATTAAAGTGCATTTATTAAGGAAAAGTTCAACCGAGACACGCCTTTGCTATAATTTCGAACAAACAATTGTTTTTAAGTGTTAATCTTGTTAAAAGTCCTCCCGTGCACGCTCCCGCGGACGCCATTTGGCAGCAAATCGAGTTTTGCCACAACACCGGCCCACATTTCCAGGTTGTCAGCGGTGACACATGATAGATGCGACTTATACGGCAAAGCGACATATTTTTGTTTTTCGCCACGTTATTAGACATACTTGGACTGATGCGACGTTTACGGCAGCAAGTCCGGTACTTTGACATACTATAACAAGCTAAAAAGCTCAACCAACACATTCTTACTTTTAAAGAAAAATAATAATAAATACGGATGTAGATTTACACGTACAACTAAACATTTGCTGATAATTGAAACTCTTCAACAATAAATAAAAGTTCAGAAAATGTGTTTTACGCGACTACCTACTCTAGTGGTTGCTCTGCCTCTGGACTTTGGAGCCTCTGCCGTTCCCAGAGTCCTCGATGTGTCTTTTCCCGCTGGTTTGCGTGGACGGATGGTGTTCAGGGCCTTAAAAACAAAACATTTTAAGAAAGTCAGAAACATCATTTCATTTTGAGTTGAGACCAACTCCAAAGAAAGAAGAATGTTTTTGGATGAATGATTTAACACCGGCACTAGAGTCACTGAAGTTCTCATCCCTTCAAAAAAAACATTTTCAACCAAGTAAAAGCAAGTAACAACAAACTGAATTGTTTTGCACCGTCTGTCCTCACCTTTCTGAATGACAGGACTTTGAACCTGCTGGGGGGGTTGTGTGTAACACATCATGCTTGAACCGGCAGCATAGCTTTGAACTTCAAGCAGAAACACAGAGTATTAAAGAGGGCAGAAAATGTAAAGAGCTGTGACAAACATGCAGATTAAATTTATAAAATGGCTGCTAATCCTCACCTTGCTGATGTGTGCCGGCGCTGATTTGTGTTTCGCCCTGACGGTACATCGTGACGCCGCCCTGCCAGTCTCCTCGTGGATGAGCTGGCATCTGATAAGCTGAAAAACAACAACGATGCGCTTTTCAAACCTCCATTTCTCCTCTAGCTTTCCATTTGTGACCGCACTCCTAAAAAGTAAAGATATTTCATCTGGGAATGCCTTGACAGCTCTAGAACGTTAACTTTGTGTTTTGAAGCCTGAAGAGTGAGTTTCTCTTACTCGGACTCTGACGTCGTGTGTGCCGCAGAACGGTATAAGTGACGGGAGCTCTGCTTTGACTCCATCTTTTTTGTTCCTGTCGTTTTTGTTTTAACTTTTTTTGCACCTACACTGTACACCCACGCTACGGGTAAGACCGCGACACACGTGTGAAGTTTTCTGTGTCGCTGTCTTGCCATTGTGGTTCAGTTCCTGGCCTCCCTCCAGCCTCGGGCTTAGGCCTGTCATGGCGGCTGTCTCCATGTTCCTCCATCTGCCTGCACGGACCAAACTCTACGGACCCGTTCGGTTCCGCGAGGAAACCTCGGATGTTCTCTGTCTGCTGGACCTGGTTCTGGAGGGCTGTCTGGAAGGGCAGCTGATGCGGGCATTAATACCATCAAGCTGCTGACGGGACCTGCTAGCGAGACCTGATAACGCTGCTAACAGTATCATGCTGCTAACTGGACCATGTTTATAAGATAACCTCACTGTCATCAGAACCACTCTGCCAATAGGACCATGCTGCTGTAGATTTATTTCTCTTTCACTTTTGGCGCCTTGTTTCTGTATTTTTGTTGCATGCTTTGGTATTTGCTGTTGTTGTTTTTTTTGACAAGTCGAGACGGTTCTTCTCGTCCTGAGCATTTCATTGTATTGTTGACCTTGTGTTGATTTTACATGACAAATAAACCAAACCTGAACCTGAAGAGTGAGAGTTTCTCTTACCAGCTGGAGCTGCAACCTTATGCGTCGCTTCAGGAGGGAACCCCACCCCATCTGAGGGGGTCTCGTTGTTTCCGTTACCATTGGAGTTGGATGGAACGGTCGCCAAAAGGCCTGAGAATACGATCGACGAGGAGTTAAAGGCTCATAGGACGCATAAAACTGATGAGATCACAATGAATGCTCTTCTAAGAGCTGATAACTTAAAGCCAGATTAAAACAAGGTTTGCAATTAGACAGAAAGTAGTTTTTACTAAGTACAAGTCTACTTCCTCCCCGTGTTCTTACCGAAGCCTCTGTAACAGGAGAGCTGCTGGTAGATCTGTTTCATCCGCTCGATGTTGATGCAGCTGGCCTCTGCGTGGTTCACCATGGGCTTGGGATAATGCACGCCAACGACACATTTAGCAGCCTTCTGCACAGCATCCGGAGCGTTCCAAGGGTCATAAATATACTTAGCTGGAAAGCCCCTCAGAGTAGGCAGGTAGCGCCTGAACAAAGCAAAAAACAAGAAGAATGAAGAGGATTTAAATATTTATAAGAAAAACATACATTTGTCATTTAAGGCTGGATCATCTGCCCTAATTTGCCAATCAGCCGTCAAAACTTAACATGAATTTCACTGGTATTCTGGTGGGAAAACCCTGACGAACATTGTTTCCGTGGTTCTAATCGTACCGTATGTAATCTCCATTTGGGTCGGTGCGCCGGCCAAACCCAACAGGGCAGTAGCAGTGGAAGAACTGCTGAAAGAAAGAGCTGCAGGACAGCCACATCCAGCTGCCTGCGTTGACACTCCAGTCTGCATCCAGCAGCAGCTCCTCGAACACCTGGACACAAACACAACCGGTCTCGTGTTAGCTGAGAAACTCCCAAGTTGCACTGGGATTCCAGCGGATGCACATATCAAAGTGAAAAGACATAGCTAAATATATATATTTTTTGCTTTTCCCCCTAAGGTGTTCTACCTTCATGCCCTCCTCCCAGCTGACCCACAGGTCTCCTCTCGTCAGGAAGCAGGCCACGGCGTGCCGGGCCAGGTGGTGGATCCAGCCTTCCTGCCTCAGCTGAGTCATGATGGCATCGATCCAGGGGAAGCCAGTCCGGCCCTCAGCCCACTTGGCCAGCGCCTCGGGGTTGCGGTCCCACGGGATCTGAACGCAGATGGGGTTACTCTCCATCTTGTCGAAGCAGGGGTTGTTGGTGGCTGCTGTGTAGAAGAACTCGCGCCACAGCAGCTGGCCGTAGAGCGACAGAGGGGGGGAGCTGTTCTTCTTCACCTGGAATGAAACACGCGTATCGACACAATCTATGACTGAACGGTTTGATTTCAGACCTTTGAACTTTTATTAGCGTACAGTTTGGTCTAATCGTTCTATTATCGTATTTTTCTGACTATAAAACCCTTTAATTTTCTCAAAAATAGACAGTGGACCTTATAGTCCGAAAAATACGGTAAATGAAGTTACTGGTTAAAGGAAATCTTTTGTCACATTTTATGGAAACAGAATATTGTTCGTGACATTGATAGAAACAAATCTAATCTGCACGAACAACTGTCATTTGACTATTACGTCATAATCTGTTTCTCACTTCTTTCTTCAGACCAAAATCTTCATCAATTTGTTAAATACACTTGCCTTCCTGTAGAGGTCGGTGAGTTTGAAGTAGAAGAGGCGGCAGGAGAGGCAGCCGAACCGCAGGTATGGGCTGAGGCCTGTAGGGCTGGCGAGCAGCGAGTTGGCGTTCATCCTGGGACGCTCAAAATTGGCCACCCATGCCTAATGGCAACACAATAACACAACAATACAAAAAAAAAGTAGGTTATGTCATGACTTTTGATCAGAGTTGATCAGACATGTCTAAAATATACTAGTACCAGAGCAGAAAAATGATACTTGATTTAAAGCATATTATAATCTTCAGCTGGACTTTAACGGATCTGACTGACCTTTCGTTCCAAATGCCTCTCGAGTCGTGTGAGAGCTTCAGTCTCTCCTCCTGGCCACACAGCTGACGACAGACCATCAGTGTCAAAACCTGCAGGGTTTGGAAAAAAAAAAAAAAAGCACAGGACTTAATCCAGATCTTTTATTTTTTTGTTTCAATCACAAGTAGTAATAATAATATAGATAATAAGTGGGTTTTTAAGTTATAACGCACCCAGTTCTTCCAGAGAGGGAACCCCAAACTTATCATCATGGTCTTCAGACAGGGGTGTACTGCATTTCCCCATGATCTCAGCTGTGATGGATTCTGCAGGCATCTCCACAGGATCCATACGACTGATGAGGGTCTGGAACCGCTTGTAGGTGAGAGGGGACTGACCCCCGTTCAACTCTATGATCCTGAAGGTCACGAACAGCGACAGAAAGGTGTCATAACCCAAACAGATGCACAGATAACATTACACGTTTATGCCAAAAATGACTTGATCACATGAACTCACTTGTCGAGGTCATAGAGAGTGTGGGAGATGCGAACCGTCACCTCCACTCCAGCCTCAGAGGCCAGCTTCTTAATGGCAGCATCTCGTTCTTTCCCAAAGGGCTCGGAGTCATACTCATAAGACAGACGACTGATCTTCCACTCCTGCAAAAGAGGGAGGAAAAACATCAAAATGAAGGGTTCACACAAAGTGTTTGAAGCCACTCGGTTGTGTTGCTCAGCGGTTGAATCAATGGACATGTCACCTTGAAAAGTCTGGGAAAGACATCAGTTGGCTGGCCTCGAATCACAAACAGGCGAGAGTTTAGCTTACGGAGGCTTGCGTCCAAATCCTCGAGACTCTGCAGTAAAAACCTGCAGAACGACAGGAAGAGGGATGTCCAAAATTTAGATTAAAATAAGAGGTCAGAAGATCTGTACCTGCTCTGATGATCAGTTTAAACAGCCGGAGATAAAAAAAAAAAAAGTGACTAGTTCAAAAATGAGGGCAAACGCTAAATGCACACAAAAAAAAGGTCTAGTTCATGCAACGAGGTGCAGGGAAATGATTGAAATCACTTTAATAACTGAACAATGACAAAAAAAAATCTGCAAAAGTTTAAAGCTGGGGTGCAGCCTTTACAATCAAAAGAGCTACCTTTGTGCCTCCGTTCGCTAAATTAAATGTGCCTGGCGCCGTAAAACCTGGTAAAACTGCGGTTATCAACTGGTGGCCCATGGGCCACTTTAGATTTGTTGGAGGGGACTTTTCTGGCCAGCAGGGATGACATTAAAAAACTAAAAATATCTAATGATTTTTTTTTTTAGCATTTATTGATACTTTTACTATTTAAGACAAAATATTCTTGTAAAGAAAAGGGAAAAATATATTTTTAACCTTTTTTTAATGTAAAAAAAACTACGAACTATGTAGACCTATATTACTTTTTAATTGTGAAAAAATTAAGTATCCTGCTTTGAAGAAATAAAGCATAAAGTTAAAGTATGTTTTACTTCTCATATTAGTTCTAGGTTTAATGCATTTGTAAAATAAATGATAGTATAACAACCTATAAAATTTAGTTTTATGTTTGTTTTAGTCAAAGCTTGAACGAGTCCCTGCAGAGGCACCAAGGAGCCGAATATGGCTCCAGAGCCGCAGGATGCAGACCCCTGGCTTAAAGGTTTGAAGTCACTGACAAAGTTTGATACGTTTTCACTTTAAAGGCGTACGAACGACACCATAAAAGTCTGAACTTAATGCCTCCGGACCTCCCAGCAACATGAGCTGGTGTATGCCATTTCACGATAACAGCCATTCTAAAACAGATATTCAAAACACACAAAATGTTGTAGTTTTATCCACGAGTGTGCTCATTGATCCGGACTTCCTCTTTTTGATTAAAAAAAATAAATAAAAATCAGCACAAATTGTTTTATTCATTTTTTTGGTTTGTTTTTTTTCAGGTCAAAGTGTTTTATATAACACGCCTGAGTTAAAATGTTATTATTTATTGATTATATTTTATTTTTCAGTATCAAATGGTCAAAAATGTTTACAAGTTTAAATAAGGATTTATTTTTTCAGGCAAATTGATGCACTTTAAGTAGTTTCTGTTACAAACTAAAAAAAATAATGTTAATAAAGTTACTCTTCGTTGTAAGTTCATCTACAGTATTTATTTTTCTTTAATGTTAATAAGGACACAACGTTATGTAGAGGTGTACTTATAACAATTTTATAGACAAATGATGCTTTTTACAGTCGCGGCGGAGAGTTGGGGGGGATGTTTACTTCTTCCTGGGGGGCGGGGCGTAACAGAAAATAATTGAGAAGCACCGTGTTAAAGCAACTCTTAACATTTTCCAGAATGGGACATAGATACATTTAAGAGCTTGTCCTCCAAAACGTTAAATAATCATAAACTTCATTTATTTTTTACAAAGCCTATTTGATGTAACATTAAATGTTGTCAAGAACACAAAAAGGCTTTCTTTAATTCTGTGTTTAAGGTTGCAACGACCTGACCGCCTGAACAAAATGTCAAAATTATAAATGTTAACTCTGGAGCGACCTGTGGGAGGTACACTTGACTAAATGTAAACTCTTCAAACATATCCCGATTAATCCAAAATGTAGTAGTAAAAACAAGAGTAATTATTCTTAAGAAATGTTCTTAAACTATGTCAACGAGCAGCTCCAGGAGCTGAAGTGCTGAGTCATTAGATATCAAGATAACGTTAGTTCTGCAGAGGAGGCGAGAGGACGAACAGGACCGTAACGCTGGTGAAGGGATCCACTTCTGGTTCATGACTCACTGATAACAACGGGACAGACAGAAAGTACTTTCAACGTTTATGAGTTAATACGTGAGTGAACTGATGGATGAACTGGTCTTGGCGTTTACACATTTAAATGCAAAGGTAATTAGTTTTAAACATTTATATATTAAATGGGGAAGGAAAAAAAAGAATGTATTACAATTGTCTGGAGCAATTCTATACACATATAAAAAATAACAATAAAGACTGCAATAGAAACTGGTAGCATATATTCCAGTTTGTTGACTGACTGGTGTCATTGTTCTGTCAAACATCTCAAAGCAACTTAATTCAATTCAGTATTTCTTGTCATAAGTCTTTACCGAGCATACTGCAATTTGCAACGGTTCCTAACGAGAAAAGAACCGACTCCTGAAATAAATGATCCTGGTTTCACGTTTGCACAAAGAGAAACCAGGATGTAGCAGTTCTTATACACGCAATAGTTTATTTTCATAATAAACATACGTTCTGTTATTCTCCGTGTCTCCTTTGCCTACAATAAAAGTGCCATTTCTCGCCTAAGCAGACTCTGAAGACTGAATCACAGACGGCAGATGAGTCAACATGATAAACAACATGATAAACAAACAAAACTGACCCATAAAGCTTAAATACTGTCAAACAGAACACCTCGTTTCCTTTCCATCCATCTATTATGGTATGTTGCACCATTCCTGTGCTTCTGATCAGAACGTCCAGAAACAAGACCATGTAAGCTTTAGATTAGTCAGACGTATACACACGCAGGCAGAGCAGCAGTAATGTGGACTTCCTGTACTGTTGCTATAGGCAACAGAAGAAGCTTCCTGCGTCCTTCCAGCCTCATCGAGCCTTTTATTGATTTAACGAGCAGGTAAGTGTGCAAAATGTTTCTTAAATACACAACTCCTCCCTGCCTGTGTTATTACTGTGATGTTAATATTTTAGATAATAAATGTCCTGACAGTCACTTAGCCAAGTCTGAACATTTTATGAAAGAGCTTTAAAAAATACAACTGTAAGGGGAAATTGAATTCAAAGTAAAAAAAAAAAAAATGATGGTATTTTTTTTTTTTTTTAATCTGAGCAGTATGGACACTAAAATGAAGAGAAACAACATAATCCAGCAGTTACATTAAAGGTACTACCTGTCTACTACCTTTGCAGTGCTAGTTTTTACTCATCATCAACACTGAGCTTCTGGATTTTTTTTTTTTTTTGCAGGAACGCCCTTCTTCATCTCCCTCTGCGGCTGATTCTGGCAGCTGTCTAGAACAACCAGAGCCATCTCCGACGGACGTTAAATCATTTTTGTCATCTCCACCCAAAACCACTGTCCCAGTTCAGGGAGTGTGCTTGGTATCGCTGTGTTCCCCTGATCTGAGGTCAGTGTGACACAGCAAGGCTAGACTCAGACCAACTGACCTAATAAGCTTTGTTCATCTGGGCAGCTTAGACAAATCTGTACAGCACTAGTGCTAAAAGAAATCTATCCGTCTGTCCCCCGACACTCCCACCTCGCTCTTATCTTCTGCAAACTGCTCCACTAACTGCAACCTTGTGGCATGAAACTTTTATGATTGTGGGTCACCGGCTAAGACTCTGTAAGCGAGTCTGAGCCTAAACATGATCTGAAAAATGGATATCAGATGAACGCAGCTTTGTCGGGATTAGAGCTGATGGCGGTGTCGTTCAGAGGACGATAACGGGGTCTCTCACACAGGCAGGAAAGCAGAAGTAGTTCAAAATGGAGAGATGGATGTTTCACTACTAACACACTGACCTACTTGTTGTGCCAGGCGAGAGGACGCTATTGCATTTCATTCAACATGGCCTTACGACTAAAAACCACCTGCTTTCTTTTTTATTTGAAAATGTGTCACAAAGAGAGGAATGTGCTAGAACAGATGTTGGATGCATGAGCGGCTGGTTAGAGTGAGCTTTTCCTAATCCGCAGCCGAATTCACATTTGGAGCGGGAGAAACCTTTGTGCGTCAGGGTTTTCTAAAATACTCATCAAATTCGTGCAGGAGCAAACCAAAGCATCCACCGAGGTAATTACGACACTTGCAAATCCTTTTAGCAGCAGCAATAATTAATATCCGCCAAACGATATGATGCAGTTTTCACACAGAAGCACTGAGGTGACATGTTTGGAGTTATGATGAAATGATGGTCACTGATCATGCAGGAGAAATAGCAACATGAAGCGATCCGCCCTCGTAACACTGAAGGTTAACAGAATGGCGTAGGACACCAGAAGTGATAAGACATCACACCAACGTCAACCATTCTCACTCTTATGACTATCTATCATAAAATATTAGTTGTAAAGCCTGCACGGACTTCTTATCAAGTTACTACAAAAGATGCAAGGTCGAACTGAGGAACTACTTGAGAAGTAAAAAAAAAAAAAAACGTGCAAACAAACATAAATAACCACACAGGACGTGACAATCAAAACTATATTTCTGGTCAGCTTAAATAACATAAAAATACTAATTTGGTATTTAAAAAACATTTGCAACATTAGGGAAATAGGTTTGTAATTTTCTACTGATAATACTAATAATGGATGGACGATAATAATAATGTGGCTTCTAGAAAACTATTGATTGTTAAAGGCATGATCCCAATTTTAAAATGTTCATTTTAAATGTAACCATTGCTTTAGGTCATTTGTGAAGAATACAAAGTTCTTTATTTGTTTTTGACCTGAACTGACTTTAAAGTGCAACAATAAACTCAACAACCTGCAAATCTAAATGAAAATCTATTTATGATTCCTGACAGTTTTATGTGCAAGATAAAATCTAACCCGTTGAGGTTAGCTCATCCTGTAAAGGTTTTCAGTCTTTCACCTTAAAAGTCTACCTGAACTGAGGATTCAATTGTATTAAATGGTTTTAGGAAACGGAAATAAAAAGCAAACCATACTGGTTGGTGTAGTTTTCCGTACATGCCTCTAGCTACGAATTCTACAAGCATTTAACATATTTGAGTGCAATTATTATAGTTGCTTTATAACTCACATCAGATCATTTAGGTTTAAGCATAATCAGATTTTAGTGTTTTCATTCGGTCAGTCTGTCTTTCCATTTTATGTTGTTGTTGTTTTTTTTGTTGCAAACATCAGGGACTTTGCATCTCTGTAATCATTTTACACCCCTTCCACTGACTCACAAATCATCAGTGCTCCATTCATCTGTTTTGTAAGAACATTTAGTGACATTTTAGGAATGATTCTCTTGCGTTGTGTCAAAACACAACATGGCTACAAATTGCCAGAACCTCTGCACCTCATCAGCTGCATGTCATTAGCAGCAACTGGCTGCTATGTGAATAAGGCTTTGATTTTTCTACACTCTGCATCATCGTTTAGCTTAGTTGTTGTGATATTACTATGTAATAGCATGCATTTGTCTTATAATGTTGCTCAAATTAGGTTATAACTGCAAGCCTGGCTTACTAGGTTTGTAAAAAAAAAAAAAAAAAAAAAATCACGATTGACATTTATGCAACTCGCAAGATCAGTAATTGGCTATTCGATGCAATGTCCTGAAAATCTAGATGTAAACGGATGGTGACGTCATCGCTCGTCTCACCTCCACCTGTTGATCCCAACGTTGGAAGATCCAGCGAACCAGGGGTCGAGGATGTAGACGCAGCGGACTGTATCCGCTCCCAGCAGAGCCTCTCTGAGCGCCGGGTTGTCGTGGAGCCTCAAGCCCTTCCGGAACCAGTGGATCGTATTAATGACCATCACTCAAGTGGACGAGTCTTTCTGAATGATATAAAATAGTCTCGTGTTGTCTCTCGCTCGACTCGGAGACTCGTTCAATTGTCCAAAAGCAACGAAAACTAGGGCACGAGGTAAACGAGCGCAAATAAATGAAGCAGCTTCACGTGCGAATCCTCAAGACTTCGGACACAAGCGTTACAATTAGCCTTGCTCTAACTGAACCTTTTCCATTATGTTGAAAAATTGATAAACGGCTAGCTGCTGAATCATTTGGGCACGAGACAGCTCGCGCGCTCCGTAGCGAAGCAACCCGGCGGGCTTTAGGACCGCGGCGGCTGACAGCCTGCTTCGTTGTATAACTTGTTTTTCTGAATGATGGAATGGGTCAACGAGAATGCGCATGAACTAAAACTCATGAACGGATTCCTTGTATTCAACAAACATTACCAGCGGACAACAAATAAACTACGAAAACTAACCGCCCTATAATTCCAGGTTACTAACGTTGCTAAAGACCTCGAAAACACGGTTTCCCACGCGAAGACAGCGTGTTATGTAAATACAATTTAATCGAATCCGTCGTCCTAAATTCGTCTGAACGATTACTTAGCTGCTAAAAATGTCTTCCCGTTCGCTTCTGAATCGCTGCCCTCACGGCCGACCGGATAATTTAGTGGATTTGTCGGAGAAAATCCCGAGACGTCCACGACCTATAGCCTCTCCACCTCTTCGCCGCTTTACTCCACCAACTGGCGACGTGCTGAGCTCAGAGCTTCGCTGTGATTGGCTGAAAGCGGCTACGTACGTGGTCACGTTTTGGCAGCGTGCGATCCCCTCGCGCAGCCAGGCAGCCAGCGTGCGCAGCGAACTCACATGTAATTTTACCGAATAATGGACTCTCATGGTGACTTACCTGAAAATGTTAGCGAGGTAATTTGATCACCTTTGACGACTTGAGGTCAGAAGGCACGCCGGTAAATTACGGCTTAAAACAAGTTTATTAATTTAGTTACAAAATAAAATAAAACAGTTTTAGATAGTAGCTACATTTAGGAAAATTTTGGATTTTTACGACACTGTGACGTATCCACAAAAATATGAAAAACACTGCTGTCAGCTGCAGATTTGTTTACTAAAAGAACCTAGCACGAGATGAGTTAGCAGCTTATTAGAAATCATGAAATAATATTAAATCCCTTTTAATTATACATGTTCATATTTTGCAGACACACAAAATATTGGAGTAGAGAAATAAAAATTGCGATTTTTGCAGTTTTAATTAAAGGTTTAGTTATTTATAGATTATTTACTCATAAGACTACGTTTGCTTTTATTGCTGTATTCCTGTTATGTAGCGCTTATAGATTTTTAAAATTCAATTTGCCTTTTTTTATATTAAACTAAATAATATAGCCTGTTTAAATATGTGCGTGTTTTCAAATTGCGTCTTATTTATTACATTTTTGTTGTAGAGTTTTTGCTTTTAATGATCCAAAATAAGATATGCGTCATGCAGACTCTTATGTAAAATGATTTGTAATTATGCAAGATAAAAAAATACATACAGGAGATCCGACGTAATGTAATACAAATTAATTACCACGAGAGGGCAGTATTACACAAGTTTTAGAAGCCTTATTTTGCCTGATTTAAAAAAACAATTCAATAATTATACAATAAATATTTTCAAATTTAACCCTCTATGGCATGACTTTTTATTTTAGGAGAAAAAAATGTGTCACCCATATTTTTAGGGGCTTGGGGGTCCCTGATAATATATTGATCTTAAAATGTACCCCCCACCCCAGAGAATATTGGTGTGTTGCCTCAGGGCAACAAGATTATATAAGGGTACCTAAACGCCAATTATTATTTTTTTAATAATAATGGAATAAGGAACAAACAACACAATAAATACATTGGAGGTAGTTAAATTTCAACAACAACAATTTTATCTAGTGTTTTTTCTTTGTTTGTTCACATACACGCATGCACGCCACCCCCACACACACCACACACATTTATCACATCCAGCCTGTTTGCTGACTGGACCCTAATCTTCATCCCTCAGACCTGGTTCTGGTCCACTCTTCCTCATCGTCAAAAGGAATGAGCGTAACTGTTCGATCAAGTTTCTTGTTGCTCCCATAAAATGTTTTTGTATTCATTTCCTGTGGGTAGTAGTGGATATTACATAAAAAAATGAATATTAGGGAGCTAACTATACATGTGAGCTTCTCTCCATCCCTGTGCATGTTACTGGTCAAACTGGGCTGGTTCTCTACAGTTGGACTTCACCTCCACGCTGACTGTCCTTTTTGGATCAGATCATGTGTTTAATGTCAAATACCAAGAGGTGCCAGCCTCAGTCTAGTCCTGCAGCAAGAACAGAAATACTGTCTGCAAGAGACAAACTGTTTTACTGCTGGAACAGAAAAGGTGCCACCACCACAGTTTTCAATGCACTACAGCGCCCCCTGCTGGTTTGATAGAAATCGTTCCTGTTGCTATGGTTACACATCATAACAAAGGGTCGATTCAAAGAAAAACAATTTGCTCAGTAACCTCATGAATGTAGCAACTTTTGCATGAAATTTCTTTATTTCAGTGCTTATTTTGTTGGAAAAATAAACTTTTAAAAATAAACAAATTGGGCAGAAACTGAAACATACAATATATTTGCTAGATGTTCAACAAACACTAGAACAGAGCTTAATAAAAATGTTTTAGCTTCGGAACTGTTGACAGAAGCTTCTAGAATAATAGTAGCTCTTGTTTTAAAAGGTATTTAAAAGGTTTTTCAAAAACATTCAATATTTATTTTTCAAACAATTTCTTTTGAAATGACAGGCTCCACCCACAGCTATATGCGTTAAGAATGATACTTTGATTTAGAAGAAATAGGCTCCACCCCCAATGATTCACAGTTATGCTCCTTTATGACATCAAAGTGTATGAAAACACATTAAGGTATGACATCACAGTAAGACATCAAAGTATGACATCACAGTCCTTTGATCAAAATCTATATATACACCCACTCAAACATGAGAACAGTTCAGTCCATACGTTGCCACGTTAAAGTAGTACACGTACACAATTGCCCAAGTACTTTAAAACATATTTGTTTGCAAAGTTTACGATGGGAAACATTATCAAAAAGACAAGTGCGGTAAAATCCCACGGCAGAAGAAAGCATGTCCAGAGAAATCTTCGGCTCAGCGCAGAGAAAAAAGATCCTCAATTTCTGCTTCGCGTTGAGCCAGACAAACGGTTTCAAGAAAACATGGCTTTCAAGGAAAAACTGCTTCGCGTTCATACAGACGAGCAGTTTCAAGAAAACATGAATTTCAAGAAAAAACTGCTTCGCGTTCATACAGACAAACAGTTTCAAGAAAACATGGCTTTCAAGGAAAAACTGCTTCGCGTTGATACAGACGAACAGTTTCAAGAAAACATGGCTTTCAAGGAAAAACTGCTTCGCGTTGATACAGACAAACAGTTTCAAGAAAACATGGCTTTCAAGGAAAAACTGCTTAGCGTTCATACAGACGAACAGTTTCAAGAAAACATGGCTTTCAAGGAAAAACTGCTTCGCGTTCATACAGACGAACAGTTTCAAAAAAACGTGAATTTCAAGAAAAAAACGATTCGCGTAGATACAGTCGATCATTTTCAAGAAAACATAAATTTGAAGGAAAGACTGCGTGAAGCTGAGAGAGAGATTAAACGGTTACGGCGCCAAAAGATTTTTGAAAAGGAATCTGTTAATCACCAGAAAATTACCCGTGACCTGCGCCAGGAGCTTGAAGAAGTGCGCATTTTTAAACAGTCTGCCGACGAATACATCGTCAGACTTGAAGCAACCAACGCCCAGCTTGAAGTGGCAAATGCTGAACTTCAAGAAATGTTGGTGAAAACAGAAAGACACACTGAATTCAACTCCATGCCTGTGAGGAAGTTGGATGCTAGGCTAAATCGAGACTTGGAAGCTGCTATAGCTAGTCAGAATAGCACTGAAGCTGAATCACAGCCAAAAAATCTTGAAATCGAGCTTAGCAATGCAATGTCAACAATCGACCATCTGCAGAGAAAGCTTCATCGCTTTTATAACGAAAAGGAAGATATTGTGATGAGTCCCTTCGAAATTAAGAACGAGGTTCAATCAAACCTTCAGATTGAGTCCGAACTGCAGAAAACAAAAAGCGAACTGGAAAAAAGTAAGGAAAGAGAGCATGAAAAAAGTCTCCAAATTGTTCATTTAAGATACGACGTTAAAATATTAACAGAGGAGCTAGATGCTGCAAACAAAAAACTGCAGCAACAAGCCAGTGTCCCAACATTACAGATCGCGTTGCCTCAGACATGCCCAGAAGACGCTGTTCAAACCAGTGAGGAACCAGAGGTTCACCCCAAGGACCCACTGGAACGCAGCATTGATCAGGGTCTTACGATCAGGGAGTCTCCTGTTGAGGTTGTTGAAACAACGCTGGGAGACCTGCCAGAAATCACGTCTGAGCGAGTGTCCACAGCTGAAAACAACCAACTGAAAAATGGCGCGGACGAAAATATTCTGCACCTTCAGGCAATAAAGAAAGCGTTTGAGGTGAAGTCGAAAAAAATTAAAAAATCTGGTTCGCTCGGCTATTTAATTCAACGTACATGCCGAAGGATGACTGACTCAGGAGAGAACAACTTTACCATCGAAAACAGACCGTATGAACCAAGTTTATGATTGTGATGTTACACAGCATTGCAAAGATAAACGCTTTAAACTATTTGACAGTTCACACTGACATCTGGTTCAGGTTCCGGTTCCATCAGGTGTTTTCCGTTTTCTCCCGAACAGAAGTGGCTTTTCTCCGGGGACTCCGGTTCACCACTTTAAAAACAAAATGACAAAAAAAAAAAAAAAAAAAAAAAAAAAAAAAAAAAAAAAAAAAAAAAACCTCCTCCGATCAATCGCCACCTTATCGTGGTGGGGGAGTTTGAGTACCCCATGTTCCTGTGGGCTACATAGTCTTGGGTTTTTGGCCCCGTTAGGGTCCCCAAAGCGAACATGAGTCCAGAGAAGGGGTCAGACTAAGAGCGATTGAGTACCTCCACATCCAGATCACTTTCTCAGTTATATAAAATTATTTAAAAACAAAGCAAATGAACAAAAAAGGTCAAATTAGCAGAAAGAAGCTAATAGGAGCCGAAAACAGCTAAAATGAGCACAACTGAAAACAACAAAATAAAGTGAGGTGGTGTAGAGGTAGGGCAACCGAATTGGGACCTGAAAGTTGCAGGTTCATTATGCCCACATGTCAGTGTCATTGAGCAAGACATGTAATCATTGCGTTGGTGGTGTAGTGGGTAACATAGCTGCCTTCCAAGCAGTTGACCCGGGTTCAATTCCCGGCCAGCGCATTCCATTCTATGGGGCCAAGATGTTGTAGAGGCAGGGCAGCTGACCTGGGACCAGTAAGTCACTGTTCAACTCCTCGCCATCTCCACATGTCATGGTGCCTCTGAGCAAGTGTTGTGCATGTTGTGGGCATACTCTACCCAGACCAGGTGTTGAGACCAAGCAGATGGGTTCTCCTCAATGATGCACCTGAGGGTAGACTCAATCTCCTGCTTACATCTCTCTGATTGGCCGTTAGACTGGGGATGATAACCAGATGTGAGGCTAGATGACCCTCCCAAAGAATTACAAAAAGCTTTCCAAACCTGAGATATAAACTGTCAGACACCACATCAGCA